GGCATAGAAACTACGTACCTCGGCCTCATACACTTTGGGACTCTCATGTGTGAACAGATGGGTCCACTGTTGAAATTTACAAATTTCAACTAGTTGTCGCATTCCCATTATGTCAAGAATATCAAGGGCAAAGGTTCTTCCCCAAAGCACCTTCTGTTTCCTCATATTTTCCCTTCTAACATCCTTGGTCACACTGACCTTGGCCTTTTTCAAGGAACCAGGTCCCTCACTTGCACTAGCCTTCCTCTTCATCGATTTCTTTACATTTTTTCCTTTCTCAGCAGGTTTCTCAGACACAGATCTCTCAGACTCGTTCTTACCAGACCTCTCAACCACTTTTTCTCCAGACTCATCCACTTCAACATTACAAACTTCCATCACTTTCACAGATGACTCTGTTCCAGAATTTTGAACCGCAAGTTTCTTGGAGGATTTAGGGATTAAGGGACTGGGTTCCTTATCCACCTCGTCATCAATGTCCACAACAAGAGTTGTAGGCACCATCTCTTCATGTACTAACTTTCCACCCTTTACCAACCTCCTTCTCTTCTTTTCTTTCTTACTTTTCTTCAGAGCTAACTCAAGAGCCTCCTTCTGTTGCAGCCTAGTAGTAGGTATTTTAGGAGTGGGTGTTTTAGGAGTTGTCCTGCTACTCTTAGCACTAATAAAGCTTGCAATAGCCACATTATCATAGTCTTCTTCACTACCGTCATTCTCCTCCTCAGACAGAGATCTCATCTCGGGAGCAACAATGGTCAATGGCTCAGCATAGAAATGAGGAGAGGGAGCGGGATCCGCACTGACCTGGGGTTCTTTTCATGAACAGGGGATTTCATCCCAAGTAGGAGCAGAGGGCTCCTCTTGGGCGAAAGGATCAGGTCACTCGAGTGGTTCCCCAGTAATACTTTCAGGTGCCAAATTTTCGATAGGCACCAGTTCCCTACCCTCTTCCTGTAGACTATCACCTCCCCTCAGAGACCCATGAGTATCAGACACACCTTCATCCAAACACCCCTCAGTGGCTATGGATAACATATTTTCTATGGCCTCTTGTTCTTGCAACCCCAAAGTAAACTCAGAAGACATAGGAGGAGCATTACCTGTAGAATCTGCGATATTCAAATCAGGGCCTGGGGTAGTCATTGCTGAGGCATCACTATTACCACCCACGCCGTGTTGTATCTTAGAACTTTCTTCCACTGGCAGACTAGAAATTTCTTGATTTTCTTCTCCCTCAACTGAATCTTCTTCGACCATTTTTTTCGGCGAGGCAGAAGGAGAGGTCGCAGCCACAAATTTCTTTGGAGTCGAGGTTTTGTGACTCCGATAAGAACCAGTACTAGATTGGTTTAGAGAAGAGACAGTGGGTGGTTGTGACTCTAGCTTAGGGGTTGGACTGGGTGGCGTAAGGGTCGTAGGCTCTATCACTGGTGCTTCAACAGATGAAGATGCAGTGGGGACGATGATTGGAACTGTTTTAGCTTCGATATTTTCATACATGGTGGAGTGTAGTGAGAGTTGATGGAAAAAGAAAGTGTTTGGTTGTTGAAGAAAAAGGGAAATTTTGTCTTGTGATGTGAGCAGTCATGAAATTGACCGTGTGTGAATTTATTTAGAAAAGATGAGGGGCCGGTTAGGAACGGGTATCAATTTTTGGGTAGATGGGTCATTTTATAATGGGTAGGATGCTTGGGTTCAAACAAAAAGAGACTAACATTTTAATGATGTGGCACCATTTTAACCGTTAAAAAGTTATGAATGAGAGTACAGAGGAACTACTAACCTGTGTTAAGTGAACCAGGTTCCCTGACAGATTTTGTAAATGTGAACTTCATCCTTTGACCAAAGTGCGATACCATTAGCTACTCGTTTGCTCTGTAATCGTCATGCGTGTCTACCTGCAACAGTATAGAGATGAGTTAAACCTTGTCAGAAATTACTTTTTAGTAATTTTTACCTGTACATTTCTTTTATAGCCAATCATCGAGGGACCAGGTCCTTAACTTGATTTTATCAACCCTAGTGCAAGATGATTCTTTTCAAAGTGCTCTCTACTCAGTGCTTTGGTGAAGATGTCTACAATTTGATCTTTTGTGTGCAGAACTTCATGCAGATAACCTCTTTTTCAACATTGTCTCTGAGAAAATGATATCGCACATCGATGTTCTTTGTTCTCTTATGCTGAACTGGGTTCTTTACCATGTTAAGAGCACTGGTGTTGTCACATAACGGCACACAATCAGAAAATACACCAAAATCTTCTAGTTGGTGCTTGATCCACAGCAGTTGAGCACAGCAAGAGGCAGCCTCCACATATTCAGCTTCTGCAGTTGAGAGAGCCACTGAGTTTTATTTTCTTGTATCCCATGAAATGAGACACGATCCCAAAAAGTGTGCCTTGCCCGACGTGCTTTTCCTATCCACCAGATAACCAGCATAATCAGCGTCAGCATACTCGATCAAGTCGAAGTTGTCTCCTGAGGGGTAGTAGAGAACAAGGTCCTGCGTTCCCTTTAGATATCTCAGGATTCTCTTTACAACCTTTAGATAAGATTCAGATTTGATTGAAACCTGGCATATAGTCCAACACTGAATACGATATTTTCTCTTCTTGCTGTGAGATACAAGAGTGACCCAATGATACCTCTGTACATGGTCTCGTTCACAGGGGAACCAGGTTCATCCATGTCCAGTCGAGTGGTAGTGGCAATTGGAGTGTCAATGACTTTTGAGCTTTCCATTTCAAATCTCTACAGAAGCTCTTTGATGTACTTCTGTTGACCTATCATTGTGCCTTTAGGAGTTTGCTTGACTTGCAGGCCTAAGAAGAAATTCAATTCCCCCATCATGCTCATTTCAAACTCACTTCCCATGAGCTATGCAAACTCCTCACACAGAGAATCATTTGTTGCACCAAAGATGATGTCGTCAATATAAACTTGCACAATGAACAGGTTTCTCCCCGGTTTCTTCAGAAATAAGGTGTTGTCAATTTTTCCTTTGTAAAACCATTTTCTAGGAGAAATTTGGATAACCTTTCATACCATGTGCGAGGATCCTGCTTCATCCCATATAAGTCCTTCTCGAGTTTAAAAACATGCTCAGGATGCTCATGACATTCGAAGCCAGGAGGTTGCTTGACGAAGACTTCTTCTTTTAGAAAGCCATTCAGAAATGCACTTTTGACATCCATTTGGAACAATTTGAATTTCATATGAGATGCGAATGCAATAAGGATTCTGATGACCTCCATTCGAGCAACTGGGGCAAAATTTTCATCATAGTCAATCCCTTCTTCTTGATTGTACCCTTGAACTACCAGCCTTACTTTGTTCCTTTTTATATTCCCAAACTTATCAAGTTTGTTTCTGAATACCCACCTGGTTCCTATAATAGTTCTGTCAGCAGGGCGAGGAACCAGGTTCCATACATTGTTCCTCTCAAATTGATGGAGTATATCTTGCATAGCAGTAATCCATTCAGTATCTTTTAATGCTTTCTTGATATTTTTGGGCTCAACCTGAGAGAGAAAGGCTGAGAAGGCAAGTGAGTTTCTCGACTTCGATCTAGTTTAAATCCCTGAGTCGAGAGGAGTGATCACATTTTGAAGAGGGTGTGAGCTTTTGTGCTTCCAGTTAGGCACTTGATACCCATTGTGAGAGAGTCCAGGTACTTCTGAATGTGACCCATGGTTGATATGAGTCCAGCTTCTCAGCTCAGTATCTGGGGTTCCTTGCACAGTATCAGCAACTTTGTTTTCAGCTTCAGTTGTTGTGATCGAGGAACCAGGTTCCTCTACATCAGCTGGAGATACTGCTACATCATCATCATTTGATTCCTTGACGTAGCTCATCATGTCAGCCTTTCCATTTGCCATATCAATGACTTCACCAGGGACTGTTGACTGCTCTCTGTCTTCATCAATCTTATCATGTGAATCTTTCCCACGTAGGTGGTATGATTCATCAAAGATCACATGTATGCTTTCCTCGACACATTGAGTTCTTTTGTTGTAGACTTTGTATGATTTGCTTTGTGATGAATAGCCCAGAAAGATTCCTTCATCACTTTTGGCATCAAATATTTTAAGAGCTTCCTTACCATTGTTGAGGACAAAATATTTGCAGCCAAATGTTCTCAAATGTGTTAGCTTGGGTTTCCTTCTGTTCAGCAGTTCATACGGAATCTTGCTCAAGAGGGACCTGATCATGCACCTGTTCACCAAATAGCATGCAGTGTTAACTGCTTCTGCCTAGAAGTTTTTAGCAATGCCACTGTCATTCAGCATTGTCCTCGCCATGTCTTCAAGAGTCCTATTTTTTCTCTCCACAACACCATTTTGTTGAGGTGTTCTTGGAGCTGAGAAATTATGACTTATGCCATTTTTAACACAGAATTCATCGAATTTTGCATTATCGAATTCTGTGTCATGATCATATCTTATACACGCAATATTGTGGCTCACCTTCACTTGGATCTTCTTCACGAAGGCAACAAACACTGGAAAAGTTTCATCCTTGGTTTTGAGGAACAAGGTCCAAGTGAATCTAGAGTAGTCATCCACTATAACAAAAATGTACTTCTTTCACTACTAAAATATCAGGTTTTAGCGACAGACAAATTTTGTAGCTAAACAGAAAAATCCGTCGCTAATCTTATTTAGCGACAGATTAGTAACAGATTATCAAGAAATTCGTCTAGCTACGCGCGTTTTAGCGACAGATTAGCGACGATGTTCGTAGCTAATTCTAGTTTTTTTGTAGTGTTTCCTCCTCTACTTGGCACCCTCATAGGTCCACACAGATCCATATATAGGAGATCGAGTGGCCTTCAGGTACTAACATCCTTTTTGGGCTTGAAAGAAGACTTGACTTGCTTTTCTTTTACACATGCATCACAGACCTTATGGTTTTTGAGATTGACATCGGCAGGCCACGAACCAAGTCCTTCCTGACCAGTTTGTTCAGCAACGTAAAGCTTGCATGACCCAATCTTTTGTGTCATAGTTCAGCATCATTATCAACATCACTCAGGCAACTGAGATCCCCACTTTGCAGGGACTCAAAATCAGCAACATAAATGTTCTTGTATCTTTTTTCCATCAGGACCACTTCACCAGTCACAAGGTTTGTAACTGTGCAGACTTTTGACACAAATTCCACTTTATTTCCTTTGTCGCAAATTTTGGAAACACTCAGTAGGCTATATTTCAAGCCGTTCACATAGTACACATTTTCAATTGAGTGAGTGAGTGACTTTCCAATTCTTCCTACTCCCAGAATGTATCCCTTTTTTCCATTGCCAAAGGACACACTCCCTCCTTGCAGGGCTTTGAGTGAAAGGAAATCATCGATGTTTCCAGTCATGTGCTTAGAACAGCCACTATCCATGTACCATTTTTGGCTGCTTCCTTTCATTGCTCCCTGCACAAGAGAACCAAGGATTAGACTTAGGAACCCAAACAAGTTTGGGTCCCTTGTAGTGAGGAAAGGGTCGAATTAAACTTCTTTTTGTCGAGGCAGGAAATATACATTTTTTAACAGAGGGACCAGGTTCCTAAGCAGTAGTTACTTTTTCAACAAACACTTTGTTTTTCTGTTGGGACTGAATTCTAGCCTTACAGTTTTCTTTAAAGTGACTAGTGTTTCTACAGTGAGTGCAAAGACAGTATCAGGGACAGTAACATACTTGCTATGTGGATTGTAGGGAGTCTTTTTCCTTTGGAACCTGACTCCCTGCATGTTTCCACCATTGCTTGTATACATGGCAGCAATTGTATCAGAGAACCAGGTCCACTTTAGAGATTTTTCGAGGTCATTTTTAGCTCTGCCTAGATCTTCTTGAAGCTGTCTGTTTCTTTCAAGTTCAGCACACAAACTAGATTTCATAGATTGTAGTTCATTTTCAAGCTTAATGTGTATCTCACTTGCAACTTCCTTCCCCTTTCGGACAGTCTCAGAACTGTTTCCCCTTTTTAATTTCTCTGTTGTTTCATTTAGGTCCATGATGATTACTAACAAGTCATCTCTCTCATTCTCTATGTTTTCAACCTTTTTCATCAGAACACTTTTTTCTTTCACTAGATTCTCAATGGTTTCTTTTAGGTCGGCCACTATAACTACCAAACCATCTCTCTCATTTTCTACCTCTCCTAACTCTATAGTTAAGGCATTTTTATCATTTATAAGATTGTGATAAGCGTCAATTAAAATATTTCCCAAGGATATGAGCTCTTTCTGAGAGTAAGACTTTAGATTTCTCTGAACGTCTAGAAAGTTTACCTCATCATCATCATTATCGTCATCATCGTTAGATTTTGCCATCAAAGCAAAAATGGAATCATAATCAGCTCCTTCACTTTTTACTGCCATCATAGAGGTGTCACCTTGTGCATCATCTTCTCCAGATTCTCTAGAAGAGTCTCCCCATGCAGCAGGAGCTTGTTTCACGACATTATCAACGGCTTCTTTTCTTTTAAATCGTTTGTCAGGAACCGGGTTCCTCTTGGTTGCTTTATCTATGTTGTGCTTGTACTGGTCTTGCTTGAGGAGAGGGCAATCCTTGATGAAATGTACTGGCTTCCCACACTTATGACATAAGTAATATCCCCTTGGCTTGCTAGAGCTTCCCTTCTTTGGAATACCTCCAATTCTGCGGACCATATTCTGAAATCTCTTTGTCAAGTAAGCCATATCAGCACCCTCATCACTTGATTCATTGTTGTCTATCTTGAGGACTAGGTTCTTCTCCCTTTTGGGCTCTCTTCTCTCATGATCCTTTTTCTTCTTCATTTCATAAGTTTTCAAATTACCAATGAGTTCATCAATGGTTAGCTTTTGTAGATCATTTTCCCCCATGATAGCATTTACTTTTCTTTCCCAGGAACTAGGTAATACACTGAGTGTTTTCCTGTCAAGTTTGTTTCTTGGAATGATTTCTCCTAGGGAATGGAGCTCATTGATGATAGAGGTGAAGCGAGTATGTATGTCCTGAATGGACTCATCGTCCTTCATCTTGAAGAGTTCATACTCAGTGGTTAGCATATCAATCTTGGACTGCTTGACTTGAGTTGTCCCTTCGTGTGCTGTTTGGAGAGCTTCCCAAATCTCCTTGGCAGATTGACACGCCAAAATCCTATTGTATTCATCTTTCCCAATGCCACAAATGAGGATTTTCTTTGCTCGAAAGTTCTTCTCTATAGACTTGCGGTCAGCATCGCTGTATTCCTTCCTAGACTTGGGAACTGTCACTGCTGGTTCTCCAATAGTTTTCATAGGAATGAAGGGATCATCGCAGATAACATCCCAGAGCTCTGAATCTTCAGCCATGATAAAATCATGCATCCTTGTCTTCCATCATCCATAGTATTGGCCATTGAATTTTGGTGGTCTCTATTAGGCCTTCTCATAACTTGTGAGACCTACGTGAACCTAATGCTCTGATACCATGTTGTCACGACCCAATTTCACCTATAGGTCGTGATGGCGCCCAACACTACAGCTAGGCAAGCCAACCAATAAATTAAGCATATGTCGATAAAATTAGAAACCAAGAAAAATAATAAGACACCAAATTTTACCAATGTATGTGTGCCAAGACCTGGTGTCACAAGTGTATGAGCACCTAGTAGATTATACAAAAAAAAACCTTCAAATACTGTTTGAAATAAAAATAGACAGAATAAAAAAAATACAAGGAGAGACACTAGTAGCTGTAGAACGGCTCAGAAAAGCAGCTCACCACTATGTCCCTGGATAACGTGGGTGTAAGACGATGGATCCCCCACTAGTACTTGCCTCAGGTCCTGCACAAAAAGTGCAGCAAGTGTAGTATGAGTACGTAAACAACGTGTACCTAGTAAGTATCAAGCCTAATCTTGAAGTTGTAGAGACGAGATGGCCGACTTTGACACTCACTATAGGTCAATAATAATAATTAAAATAAAACTAGAATATTTAAATCAGCATGATTCACAGAATTTACAATAATTTAGTTAACCAGTAAAAATAATTAGATTCCAGCAGATGCTACAATACTCAATGTATTAATTAAATCCTTCAATTTCCATAAAATTTTCAATTTATCAAATAGATTTACAAGCTGCAATTCAATTTAAATAAATTTTTAATTTATCAAATAGCTTTACAAGCTGCAATAAACTGTTCAAGTATCGTGTAGTTATTATTATTATTATTATTATTATTATTATTATTATTAAGCATGATTTTTGCTGAGGACGTACGGCTCGATCCAGAGTGTCGTGTACACTGCCGAGGGACGTGCGGCATGATCCATAGATGCATCTATCCTGCTAAGGCATTCGGCCCGATTCACAAGAAAGGAGGACATTTTCTTATGCACCTCCAGAATGAGAGTATTTATTGTAATATTTATTCGAGAGGATAACAATTTATTTCAACAATTAATTAATCTAAACAAAAATTTAGCATATGAGAATTTCATCTTTTAATATCCTTATCTAATAATTCACAATATATTCACATATATCAATTAATATTTAAACAAAGAGTACCATTTACACAAGTAATTCATGCTTTGAGTCCTAAACTACCCGGACTTTAACATTTATAGTAGTNCACAATCACCCAAATTGAGTCAAACTTGCGCGAAGTGCATGGTAATCCTACAACAAAGTCCATAATAATCATTTCCCACTTCCACATTAGAATTTCTATGTTTTCTGCTAACCCACCAGGCCTTTGGTGTTCAGCCTTCACTTGCTGACAATTCGAACATTTTGCCACAAAGTCTGCCACATTCTTCTTCATATCATTCCACCAATAGACTTTCTTAAGATCATGACNGAGCTTCCCAAATCTCCTTGGCAGATTGACACGCCAAAATCCTATTGTATTCATCTTTCCCAATGCCACAAATGAGGATTTTCTTTGCTCGAAAGTTCTTCTCTATAGACTTGCGGTCAGCATCGCTGTATTCCTTCCTAGACTTGGGAACTGTCACTGCTGGTTCTCCAATAGTTTTCATAGGAATGAAGGGATCATCGCAGATAACATCCCAGAGCTCTGAATCTTCAGCCATGATAAAATCATGCATCCTTGTCTTCCATCATCCATAGTATTGGCCATTGAATTTTGGTGGTCTCTATTAGGCCTTCTCATAACTTGTGAGACCTACGTGAACCTAATGCTCTGATACCATGTTGTCACGACCCAATTTCACCTATAGGTCGTGATGGCGCCCAACACTACAGCTAGGCAAGCCAACCAATAAATTAAGCATATGTCGATAAAATTAGAAACCAAGAAAAATAATAAGACACCAAATTTTACCAATGTATGTGTGCCAAGACCTGGTGTCACAAGTGTATGAGCACCTAGTAGATTATACAAAAAAAAACCTTCAAATACTGTTTGAAATAAAAATAGACAGAATAAAAAAAATACAAGGAGAGACACTAGTAGCTGTAGAACGGCTCAGAAAAGCAGCTCACCACTATGTCCCTGGATAACGTGGGTGTAAGACGATGGATCCCCCACTAGTACTTGCCTCAGGTCCTGCACAAAAAGTGCAGCAAGTGTAGTATGAGTACGTAAACAACGTGTACCTAGTAAGTATCAAGCCTAATCTTGAAGTTGTAGAGACGAGATGGCCGACTTTGACACTCACTATAGGTCAATAATAATAATTAAAATAAAACTAGAATATTTAAATCAGCATGATTCACAGAATTTACAATAATTTAGTTAACCAGTAAAAATAATTAGATTCCAGCAGATGCTACAATACTCAATGTATTAATTAAATCCTTCAATTTCCATAAAATTTTCAATTTATCAAATAGATTTACAAGCTGCAATTCAATTTAAATAAATTTTTAATTTATCAAATAGCTTTACAAGCTGCAATAAACTGTTCAAGTATCGTGTAGTTATTATTATTATTATTATTATTATTATTATTATTATTAAGCATGATTTTTGCTGAGGACGTACGGCTCGATCCAGAGTGTCGTGTACACTGCCGAGGGACGTGCGGCATGATCCATAGATGCATCTATCCTGCTAAGGCATTCGGCCCGATTCACAAGAAAGGAGGACATTTTCTTATGCACCTCCAGAATGAGAGTATTTATTGTAATATTTATTCGAGAGGATAACAATTTATTTCAACAATTAATTAATCTAAACAAAAATTTAGCATATGAGAATTTCATCTTTTAATATCCTTATCTAATAATTCACAATATATTCACATATATCAATTAATATTTAAACAAAGAGTACCATTTACACAAGTAATTCATGCTTTGAGTCCTAAACTACCCGGACTTTAACATTTATAGTAGTTACGCACGAACTCTCGTCACCTCGTGCGTACGTAGCCCCCACAATTAGCAATAATTATTTAATTTAATCACCTATGAGGTAATTTTCCCCTCACAAGATTAGACAAGAGACTTACCTTGTCTCAAAGTCCACTTTCCGATTATCGCGTCGCGTAAAATTCTCGATTCGATGCCGAAAAATTCGAAACTATCCAAAAGTTATATAAAATAATTAATATATGCTCAATAATTCGAAATTCATCTATTAAATAAATTATCCTATCCAAAATGATAAAATTCCTAAAATTCATTCCGGGCCCACGTGCCCGAATTCTGGAAAATTTTGGATGAAAACGTTACCCATAATCTCAAGAACTCAAATATATAATTTCTATCCAATTCCATAACCATTTTCATAGTTAAAATCTCATTTTTATAAAAATCTAGGTTTTTCATCTAAACCTTTGATTTCTAAGATTTAGTAGTTATAATCTACCCATAATCTATGTATTTAACTCAAGGTCTATAGAATTAACTTACCTTCAAGTTGCTAGTTGAAATCTCCTCTTAAAAGTGCTTTGAACTCGCCCAAATGTGGAGAGAAAACGGGCAAAAAATGGTGGATTCCCGTTCTTTTAAACTTTCTGCCAAACATGCCTTTTGCACCTGCGGAGGATGGAATGCAACTGCGGCTCCGCACCTGCGGAAAAATCCTCGCAGGTGCGAGTTCCACTCGCCTGACCAATCCTCGCATCTGCGCGACTAGCCTCGCACCTGCACGTTCGCAGGTGCGCCCAATATTTCGCACCTGCGATGGCAGGCCTCCCATTCCTTTTCTGCTTCTGCGAAGAAATCTCACATCTGCGAGTGTCGCTCCTGCGAGCTTCTGTCGCACCTGTGAATGTCGCACTTGCAACTGGCCAAGCGCAGGTGCAATTCTGACAGTAGCTGGGAGCTTCAGTTTTGGCTCCCAACTTCCAACTTGGTCCGAGCCTCGTCCGATTGACACTCGGGGCTCCCGGGACCCCGCCCGAACATACCAACCAGTTTAAAATCATAAAACGGACTAGCTCGAACTCTCGTAATGCGTAAAACAACATTAAATCTATGAATCATATCTAAACCAAATTGATTCAAACTTAAAAATTTCAAGTTCTTCGATTTACTTCCAATGCGCCGAAATATACTTAAACTATTCAGAATGACCTGAAATTTTGTGTGCAAGTCTTAAATCACTATACAAAACTATTCCCAAACTCGGAATTCCAAACGGACTTCAATTACTTAAAAACCTACTCCAAACCAAAATTAAAGAATTTTAAACCTTCAAATAGTTAATTTTTACTATTAAGAGCCAAAACGTTCCCGGGTTATCCAAAACCCGATTCGGACATACGCCCAAGTCCAAAATTATCATACGAACCTATTGGAACCGTCAAATCCCGATTCAGGGGTCGTTTTCTTAAAATATTGACCGAAGTCAAACTTGGCCATTTAAAGCCAACTTAAGGAACCAAGTGTTCCGATTTTAACCCAAACACTTCCAAATCCCGAACCAACCACCCCCTTGAGTCATAAATTAATAAAAGCATATTCGGGGAGTTTTATTTTAAGGAACGGGTTTTTAAAAGTTAAAATGACCGGTTGGGTCATTACATTCTCCATCTCTTAAACAAACGTTCGTCCTCGAATGGATTTAGAATAATACCTGGAGTGCTAATTAAGTGTGGATATTTGCTACGCATGTCCTCCTTGGCCTCCCAAGTCGTTTCCTCGACTAGTTGGCCCCTCCACTGGACCTTTACTGCAAAAATCCTCTTGGACCTCAACTGACGAACCTATTTATCAACAATGGCAAATGGCTCTTCTTCATAACCCAAACTCTTATCTAGTTGAACTATGCTGAAGTCCAACACATGTGACAGGTCAGCATGATACTTCCGCAGCATAGATACATGGAAAACCAGATGAACTCCCGATAGACTGGGAGGCAATGCAAGCTCATAAGCAACCTCCCCAACT